CATATAGTTCCTTGTAATCGGTTCCCTCTTTCCAACCCACTCTCCCTCTACCCTCCCAGTATCGCCACTCACCCCACTGGTCCTGAAGGGATCATCCAGGCATTTCTTACATGTCTCTTCCACCAGGATTTTCTTCATGATGCACTTAGTGGGGAAATATTCCAGGCTTTCCTCTTTTCACCCTAAATGTCATGTGGTCACAGACACACTAAACGATTTCCCCTCGGAAGGACCTTTGTGAGATGAGAATTGGAAAGATTCACAGCCAAGGTTCCCAGTGGGAAGAACACAGCAGCATACGTTTGAGCCAGTTGCTCTGCCCGTCACAGCTACAGAAACGAAGATGCCAGCAGTGGGCTTAGCCAGGGGTCGGCCAACTGCAACTCAAGAGCCAGACCCAACTCGTTCTATACTTACACACAGCGCTGAAGTTAGATTGAAATTTTTCAAAGGATGTTATTCAGATCATGGCGATCTCATTTGTTTGTAAAACTACATTTATGGCCCCCTGAATAATTCTTAAATTGTTGCAAGGAAGAGAATTGGCTCTTCCATCTCAAAAGTTTGCTGACCCCTGGACTAAACCATTGGGCAGGCATGTACATAACCCACAGAAACAAGCCACCCGAGTTTTGGCCATTGGCCGTGAGACTTGGTTATAGAATACTGGACAGAGGGGTGTGGTGGCTAGGGGATCATGCTTGTTAAACTATCTGCGCCATATATAGCAAACTCTTCCGGCATGTCAACAACCCAGCGAGCTGGTCAAAGGCTGGGATCATCCGGGTGATCCTTCTTTTCAGTCGTCACTCTTTACGGCCGTTGCTGCTGTCAGTTGCCATGGTGTTGATTCTAACGCATGGCCGCCTCGTGTCTTCCAGCGCCGAACTGGCACAGTTGTCTTGGCTGTCAGTCGTCACAGAAGCCGACCACAGGCCTGCTCCTCTAGGTGCCTCGGGCGGGGTGGGGTGGAACCAGCTGCCTTGGTTAGCAGTAAGTGGTGTGTGCTCTTCATAGGACCCCAGGAGTAGGTGGGCCAGCACCACCAGCCAAATGCACCCATGAAAACCAGACGGCAAAAAGAAGCTAAATCCATGGCCTCGAGGGAGGCCGTCTAATGGTCTGATAGGAAGCGCTGAGCCTGCAATTAGACTCCTTAAACTTCAACTGTGGCTCCCGGACTTTCCCGCTGTGTGTTGGGTGATAAGTACCTCGCCTGTGCCTCCGTTTCTCCATCTCAAGTAGAAGTAGCAATCGCGCCTGCATCAGCGGTCTGGGTTGCTGTGGAAGTATTCCAGGAGCTGTTATATGCGATCTGTTCATTGGTCAGTCCTGTGAGGTATTCAGAGTCCTGGTCGTAGTTACAGGCTGGGCTGCTAGCTGCAAGGTCAGTAGTTTGAACCCACCAGCCCCTCCTCAGGAGAACGATGAGGCCTTCTACTCCAGTAGAGTGATGGTCTCAGAAACCCACAGGGCAGTCCCTACCCTGTCCTATAGAGTGGCTGAGTCAGCATCAACTCAGTGGCGTTGAGTGGAGTTTTCCGGATGGAAGCGCTGAGGCACAGAGGCGTTACAGTAGCTCGCCCAGGCTAGCCAAGGTCAACATCGAGTCCAGAGCCTGAGCCTCTGAGTCCTTAGCTGCAACAGGCCACTCACACGATACCTGTAACGTTCTCAGAACACTCAGATGTCCTGGGGTGGGGGTGCTTAAAAAAACTTGTGGGGAAATGAAATGAAAAGGCAAAGAGATTGTTCCACAAACTTTTTGAAGCCCCCTTTGTGTGTGTTATTGATTGACCTGAGCTCTTGTTGACAGGGCAGTCTGCAACTTGGTAAGCCCTCAGCAAGGCTCCCTGGGCGTCGTTAGGTCACTGCTCATTAGCCTTTGGGGGAGAGTGGGTTGAAACCTTTACTGACTTGAGAGGGGTGGCGTTTTCTTTGGGACAGTTGCCTCTTTCCGAAGCGACAGCGTGCTCACGGAATGCTTCTGAAGTTCTCGGGGCAGTAGGGCATCCGGGGAAGGGAGGTGGGGCGCTTCTCAAAGTGCCATATGCCTCTTTCAGGGCCAGCTCAGTCACCTGGAACCCACACAAGATGATGGGCGTGCTGCTGCAGTGCTCCGCCATTCTCGTCAGGGAAAAGGTCTGTACTCCGGCCAGAGACATGGGCGACCTGCCCGTTCTGTGGAAGAGAAGTGCATAGGGCAATGGTTCTCAACCTGTGGGTCACGACCCCTTTGGGGGTCGAATGGCCCTTTCACAGGGGTCGTCCAGTTCATCACAGTAGCAAAATTAGTTATGAAGTAGCAACGGAAATCATTTTCTGGTTGGGGGTCACCACCACATGAGGAACTGTACGAGGGTCGTGGCATGAGGAAGGCCGAGAACCACTGGCGTCGGGCCTCTTCCGTGTCCTGGTTGAGAAACACAAGCGAGCAGTCCCCTTGTTTGCCTGGCCTCCCGCCTGGTCTGTTAGCCTCTGGAGGCTGGCTGCCCTCTGCCCTGCCACCCTCGCTCTGTGCTCAGGCCTCGCTTTGGTGACAGAAGCTTTCAGGGAATGCTGTCGTTCAAGGTCCCTTCACGTCGACACGTTTTTCGTCTGACGTACTTTGGACACACTGTCCGGAGAGGCGAGTTCCGGGAGAAGGACTTCCTGCTTGGCAAAGGAGGAAGCCAGGGCAACAGAGGAAGGGCCTTAATGCAACGGATGGGCCCGTGGCTGCAAGCCAGGGAACAGGTGTGAGAGGGCGCAGGACCCGCCAGGCACTGCTTCGTCCTGTTGTGCACAGGGTCGCCAGGGGTCAGACCTGACGCGATGGCCCCCACCCACAGCGTGTTTCCACAAACAAAAGGGAGAGAGGTTTGGTGAGGTGCCAGCCATCCTCCTCGGTCAGGACAAACCGTGGTCCTGGGAACATTCTTCTAGTTCTTAGTGTGAATTTGTGATCCCCAGAGCTGAGGTACACGAGGCAGAACAACAGCTACAAAGACCCTCACAGAGCACCCCGGTGGTTGGCCGGCACGCTCCTGAGAATGGCTGGGTGCTCTGTTTCCTTCTTGCACAGCCAGCAATGGGACGCTGCCTTCCAATGCCCTCCTGCGACTCTTGCGCACAGCGGCCTCCTTCGATGCCTGTCTCCAGCCCAGAGGGCCCGGGCCCTGTAGCCTTTGTCATGCACTCAAACAGCTGCCACCAAACTGCCTTGTAGCCATGGGGTCCAATCGCTGGCATCCATAGGGTTGGGCCTCTGGGATCCATATGGTTTTTCATGGACTATGTTGGTGGCTGCTTTTTTTTAATAGACCACCAGGCCTTTCTTCCCAGTGCATCTTAGTCTGGGAACTCGGCCCATACCTGGTGCTAATCGTAGTAGTCTCCCCTGACAGATGGTGGTGGCTGTGCTACGCGTGTGTGCCCTGGCTGGGGACCTGATGGGGGGTACCTGCCAGGAAGGTTGTTCCACCACGGCCTCCCCTCATAAGTCATCGTTGTTATTGTTGGGTCCCATGGAGTCGGTTCCGACCCATAGCGGCCCGAAGCATGGCCCGGTGGTGCACCAGCCTCACAGCTGTCCCACTGTTGGAGCCACTGTGTCCGTCCATCCGGCTCATCGAGGGCCTCCCTCTTTTTCACCGCCCCTCCACTTTACCGAGCGTGATGCCCTTCGAAGCAGAGTCTCTGTTAACTTTGTAGGAAATCCTGGAAAGACCAGGACTTTCCCAGATTTTCTGGGAGTTCTTTTCCCAAGAGG